TTGTGATTTTATGTCATTTAAGCCTAGAAAATTATTTTACCTGAGATGAACTTGGATAGATATATATGGCCACCAGAAGCAAAGGGGGGAAATATTTAAATATACTTTTGACATATATTTAAATTCATTGAAATGTATTTATTACTCATATATTTCAATCTATGTGACTTCCAAACTGTAAACTTGCACATTTACACATTTACACATACCAAACACATATTTTTAGAAATACACATTCTATTGACACAAATTGACACATTATATCATATTATATTATAGTATATTATTCATTCATTCATTTTCTTGTCGGCTTAGTCCCTTTATTAATCCAGGTTCGCCACAGTGGAATGAACCGCCAACTTATCCAGCAAGTTTTTACACAGCGGATGCCCTTCCAGCCGCAACCCATCTCTTGGAAATATTATATTATATTATATTATATTATATTATATTATATTATATTATATTATATTATATTATATTATATTATATTATATTATATTAAATTATATTATATTATTTTATATTATATTAATTGTATTATTATATTATATTATATTATATTATATTATATTATATTATATTATATTATATTATATTATATTATATTATATTATATTAATTGTATTATATTATTATATTATATTATATTATTATATTATATTATATTTTATTATATTATATTATATTATATTATATTATATTATATTTACACAAATTTGCATGATATTAAAATTTATAATATTCATTTTCCTAGTGAACATTTTACGTCTTAAAGTGAACAATACATAAATTAATCCAAAATAAAATATTTTGAAAGATGCTGTCATGCCACGTATTGTAATTTATTTTCCTACTATGGGAGTAACGGGTGCCAGCAATCAGCAAAATATCTATTTCTTCAAAATATCTTCTTTTGTGTTTGAACTCAAACTCAAATAGGTTTCGAATAAGTTAAAATTTCACTTTTTAAGTGAACTACCCCTTTAAGAACACATACTGTAAAATAAAGGTAAATTAAACTGGAAATTCCTTCATATCAGCACAGCATGTGGTGCCACATTTTTACGGACTGAACTTATATATAAATCTGCCCTCCAGCAAACAATAACTGGTAACAAGATTTTTAAAAAAGATTTCCAGCAACTCACGCACACACATCATACCTGTACATCTTGAACAGATAAGCAGCAGATGTTGACTCCTTTTTCTTCCTGCTATATGTCCCCGAGGAAGAGTAAACACACAGGCGAACACAAATTCCGGTGGATTCAGATGTGTTTTGTGCTCTTAAGTTGAAGCGATAACATCGGCTACAGTGGAAAATATGAACATTCATGTGGCGGCGTTCATGCAGGAAATTAAAATTCCACAGACATATATTTTTTTCCCTTCCTCACCCAAAATCATGGTTTGGAAAACAATGGGGAGTGAAGAATGTCCTGTATGTTTCATGAATGGGAAGACATGTTTCAAAAGTTGAAGAATTTCACCTACAGTACATTTCTGATGAACGTGTTTAGCTGCATGTGTCGAGCTGTCCAGGACTCGTAGATCATGTTGGAGGAAGAGGACGGAGAAATCAAACATCTGAAAGAAAAAAAAAAAAACAAGGTTTGTTGGAAAAGGATAACTGGCAAGATCAGTGTGGATGATGCAATACATGTGAAGAGGAACAGTTTTATTGCACGTCTACAAGAGTCAGTTGGCAGTAAAACAGAAAAAAAGATATGTTTGAATGAGATGGACATATAAACAGATGGAATGAATGAATGAATGAATGAATGAATGAATGAATGAATGAATGAATGAATGAACGAATGAACGAATGAACAGGCAAGCATATAGACAGATGGAATGAAGAAATAGACAGAAAGGTAAATAGACAGATGGATGGAATGATTAATGAATGAATGGATAGAGAGATGTGAATATAGACAGGTGGATGGAGTGATTGAAGGAACAGACGGGCATATAGACAGATGAATGAATGAATAGACAGACAGGCAAATATACAGATGGATGGAATAAATGAAGGGTTAGACAGATGGGGATATAACAGATGGATGGATCGATTGAATAAATGAATGAATTGATGGATGACTGCATGGGCGAATGGGTGAATGAACAAATGAGCGAACAAACGAATGAATGAATGAATGAATAGATGGATTGATAAATAGATAGACAGACAGACAGACATATAGACAGGCGAATAAATGAAAGAATGAATGAATGAATGAATGAATGAATGAATGAATGAATGAATGAATGAATGAATGAATGAATGAACGAACAGACGGGAATATAGACAGATGACTAAATGAATGAATAGACAGACAGGCAAATATACAGATAGATGGAATGAATGAAGGGTTAGACAGATGGGCATATAGAAAGATGGACAAATGAATGAATGAATGAATGAATGAATGAATAGATAACTAGATGGACAGACAGGCATTTAGACAGATGAATGGAATAAATGAACGAATGAATGAATAAATAGATCATATGGACAGATGAATGAATGAATGAATGAATGAATGAATGACTAGATGGACAGACAGGCATTTAGACAGATGAATGGAATGAATGAATGAATAATCAGCTCATATGGACAGATGAATGAATAATTGAATGAATGAATGAATGAATGAATGAATGAATGAATGAATGAATGAATGAATGAATGAATGAATGAATAGACAGACAGGCAAATATACAGATGGATGGAATGAATAAAGGGTTAGACAGATGGGCATATAGACAGATGAACGAATGATTTAATGAATGAATGAATGAATAGTTAACTAGATGGACAGACAGGCATTTAGACAGATGAATGGAATAAATGAACGAATGAATGAATAATCAGATGGATAGATGGATGGATGAAATGAATGAATGAATGAATGGAAGAACAGACGGGCAGATGGATGGTATGAATGACTGAATGAATGAATTAATGGATGAGGGAATGAATGAATGAATTGATGGATGAATGTATGGATAGACGGAATGAGACAATGGAAAAATCATGTGACACTGAAAATTAGGCTAAAAAATTCAGCATTGCAGTCACAGAATAAATAACATTTTAAAATATATTAAAATAGAAAACTGTTTTTTTATTGTAATAATATTTTACAATTTATCTACTTTTGTTGTATTTTTAGTCAAACAAATGCAGCCTTTGTGAGCAGCTCTAGCATGGTTTATACTAAAAATATTATGTAGAAAAAAATTTGAGCTGCAAATAAGCATATTTGAATTATTTTTAATGTATATTATTATACTATTGTTAATTAAAATTATTAATAACATATTTATTAATCAGTAATGATGTTGAAAATTCAGCTGTGAATCACAAAATCTAATAAAAAATACACCGCTATAAAATACTATTTTAAATTGTAACTATATATATTTTTAAATTACATATTTTTTTAAATAGATGCAAAATTGGGGAGCAGAATACACACACACACACACACACACACACACACATATATATATATATATATATATATATATATATATATATATATATATATATATATATATATATATATATATATATATATGTATGTATGAAGAGCTAGATGCAAAAGCCCTTTGAGAGCAAAAGCAGCTATATCCTG